TGCAAGGCTAGGCAGGGCTGGTTCGGGAGGGAAAAGAAAAATGAAAAAAAATTGATGGGGGAAGAGGAAAAGTTCCAGATGCCTTTCCCTTTTTCTCTTTTTGTTCTTTTCTTTTTTTTGGGTTTGGATAATTTAGTGGGTTTTGGTTGGGTTTGGGTCTTGGTTTAAATTTGCTGGTGAGCTCAATAATGGGGTTTGGGCTAGATTGTGGGTTTTGGGTTTGGGTTTTTTTCTTTTGGGGTAATTTTGGTTTGGGTTTTGATGGGTTTTGGGTTTGGGTTTGTAAATTCATTTTGATGAACTTCACCCCTCCAACTTTTAATTTCTTCAATTGAGTCCCTTCTTTCTTCTTCTTGAATTTTTCAATTTCTTTTTGCATGTAACACCTGAAACAAAACAAAGATATATTAGTCAAAGAAAAGGGAAATTTTCATTTTTTTATTTTTTTATTTTTTTATTTTTTTATTTTTTTATTTTTGATAAAAATTTGAGTTATGACAATATCGACTTGATACATTTAAGAAAATTAATTTCTTTAGATTTTGGCTCACAAGACTTAAAATCTAAATTTAATTTATAAAACAACATTTATTAGAAAATCTAAAAATTTTGATATTGCCTTTTTTCTTACTTGTGTTCTAATTCTATCTTGTGATTCGATATATTTCATTGTTACACTTGATTATTCATACATGGCTCTAATTAATGAAAATCTGAAACATAAAAAATTCAATCTATTGATAAAAAATATAGATCGGACGGCTCTTCCATGAGTAGGCTGGATAGAGTGTTGATGACTAAAGAGATGTTTAATATGGGTGGCGAATGGGTGCAACATGGGTTAAGAAGAACTATATCAGACCATTGTGCCATAATTATATAGACAAAGATAACAGATTGGGGGCCTAAACCATTTCGGGTGTTGGATGCCTGGCAGTAACATCCAGAATTCAAGAAAGCAGTAGAAAATAAGTGGAATGAGCTTCAGGTGGAAGGGTTTGCAGGATATAGATGTAAACAGAAGCTAAAAATGTTGAAAGAGTTCTTAAAAGGCTGGAATCGTGAAGTGTTTGAGGGTATGGAAGCCCAATTCAACAAAGCAGCTAAAAAGGTGGAGCATGTTGATATGAAGAACGAGGAGGGTGAGTTGGAAGATTTTGAGCTGGAAGAGAGACATGAGGGATTTCAAGAGATGTGGGCAGCCATGAGGAAGAAGGAAGCCATATGGAAGCAAAAATCAAGAAGCAATTGGGTGCAGCTGGGTGATGCAAATACAAGATTTTTCCATAGAGTGGCAAATGGTACAAGGGCTCAAAATAGCATTTCAGGTTTGATGTGTGATGGTAGATGGGTGGAGGAGCCAACTTTGGTAAAAAAAGAAGCAGAACATACTTTTGAAAGCTATTTCAAGGAGAAGACTGGAAACGCCCCAGGACTGCTGGAATAAAATTTAAGCAGATTTCTCAAGAGAGGAAGGAGTGGCTAGAAAGACCGTTTTCAGAAGAGGAGATTGAAGAAGGTTTGAGGAGCTGTGAAGGAACTAAAGCTCTAGGGCCAGATGGGTACAACTTTAACTTCCTCAAGTGTGTCTGGCATAGCATAAAGGAGGACTTTGTGAGCTTTTTTAAGGAATTTCATCAAAATGGCAGGTTAGTGGGAGGGCTGAACTCTTCTTTTTTAACTCTAATTCCAAAGAAGTTGAGCCCAACGGAATTGAAGGACTATAGACCTATAAGTTTGATTGGGTGTGTGTATAAACTGCTGGCTAAGGTAATATCTCACAAACTAAAGACAGTTATGCCAAAGATAATAAGTGATACTCAATCAGCATTCTTAGGGGGTCGGCAATTGGTTGATAGCATCTTAGTTTTAAATGAAGTAGTGGACGAGGTCAAGAAGATGAAGAGGCAAGCTTTTGTGTTCAAAGCAAACTTTGAAAAAGCTTATGATTGTGTAGATTGGGAGTTTTTAGACTGGATGATGGGTAGTTTTGGCTTTGGCACTAAGTGGCGAGGATGGATAAAAGAATGTCTCTCGACAGCAAGGGTATCGATTCTAGTGAAAGGGAGTCCAACGGAGGAGTTTAAGATGGGGAAAGGATTACGACAAGGGGATCCGCTATCTCCGTTTCTTTTCTTGATGATTGGTGAAAGGTTACATGATTTGGTAAATAAGGCAGAGACTGAGGATATGTTTCACAGGATACCAATTGGTACAAGGGGGTTGGATGTGTCTTTACTCCAATTTGCTGATGATACAGTAATTATGGGAAGAGCTAACAGTTCGAATATTTTTATGGTGAAATGTATTTTGAGGTGGTTTGAGTTAATGTCTGGAGTGAAGATTAATTTTAGTAAAAGCAGCGTATGTGGATTTAATGTGTTGGAAAGGTGGTTGAAAGGGGTAGCAAGAGTTTTGCAATGTGGAGTTGGCAAAACACCTTTCATTTGCTTAGGAATGCCAGTTGGAGGTAAACTAGGGAGTAAGAAGTTCTGGGTTTGGTTGTAAACAAGTTTTGTGCCAAGCTTGCTATCTGGAAATCCGCTATGTTGTCCGTTGGAGGCTGCATTACTCTACTCAACTCAGTACTTTCTTCTTTACCTACTTTTTATATGTCTCTTTTTTTGATGCCAAGCTGTGTGGTTTCTGAATTGATTAGCATCCATAGGGGTTTTTTGTGGGGTGGGGCATAATTGAAGAGGAAGATACCATGGGTTAACTGGGAGTTAGTTTGTTGTAGTAGGATGAAGGGTGGTTTAGGAGTGCCAGATCTATGTAGGAGAAATTGGGCATTACTTGGGAAATGGTGGGCTAGATTGGGTGATGGATTGGAGAGTTTATGGAAACAGGTGGTTAGGGAGAAATATTATGGAGGTAGGAGGAAGGTGGATATTACTGGAGTAGAAAGTGGAAGAGTGTCTAAGATTTGGAATGATGTTGTTAAAATAGGAGGGATGTCTGCGGGCTTAAGGAATTTGTTGGTAAAGGGTTTTAGATGGGAGTTAGGAGATGGCAAACGGGTGGGGTTTTGGAGAGAGATTTGGGTTGGGATAAATCGTTGAGGGATTTATATCCTCGACTATATGAGTTGGCTGTTAAGGAGGAGGGTTTGGTTAGTGAGATGGGTGAATGGGAGGAAGATAGGTGGCGATGGAACATGGAGTGAAGACGGGAAAGGAAGGGTAGACTGAGGGATGAAGAAGAGGTCTTATGGGAGCTGATGGGGTGTGTCCAGCTGAAGAAAGGCAAGGAGGACCACTGGTGGTGGATTCATGGACTGGATGGACAGTATGTGGTGAAAACAGCTTATGAGGCTTTGGCACCTATAAAGTGCACTCTTGTGGACCAATTTTGCAAGATGATCTAGTGTAGATTAGTCCCTTCCAAAGTGGGTTTTTTTGGTTGGAGACTATGTCTTGATAGACTCCCAAAAAAGGTGAATTTACTAAAAAAGAGGGGTGGTTTTGCAGGAGGAGAGTTTAATGTGTGGCTTGTGTGATGGTATGTTAAAGGAGGCTAACCATCTCTTTTGTACATGTAAGGAGGCTTGGTTGGTTTGGGTGAATATGCTGCACTGGTGGGGTATGGAGGTTGTGTTTCCAAATACAGTGGATGGAGTTGCTGAGTTTTTTCTGCACGGTTTGGGTAGGATAGTAGGGAAGGAAATGGGTGCATGTGTTTTTCTTGCTGTTACTTGGTATATTTGGTACT